GGGGGGGGGGGGCTGTGCTGTGGTGTGGTAGCACGTAGCACCTCCGCTAGCAAGCAGAGCTGTAACACAAGAGTTGGGACCTTGTCAATACAGGACAAGGTGTCCCATAAGGCCCCGTGCTGGACCGCATGCAGGTGCAGGCGAGCTTACCCGGGCAAGCCCACCATGGCGCTTTACGGCCCAGAGCGAGTAGGCAAACCGGCCGACACGTGTGCGCGTGGTACAGCCTAACTTGCGCCTTCCGGGATACTCTGTTTAGAGCAGCCGTGCGGTAAACAGTGGGTGTAACAAGGGCAGGCGCCATGTGCGGCCGTGAACGGATAAGAAGGCGCAAGCTAGGGAGAGAGGATCAGCTTAATGAGGAAGATGAGTTCATAGGGTAAAAGCACACTACACCCGTTGGAAAATGAAAAAAAAAAGGCAGTGAGAAATGAAGAGTTGGAGAAACTGTCCTAGCGTCTGGGGTTTTCTCTCCCCGTATTGGCAAACGATCAAGTGCGCCCAAGATCATGACAATTTCTTATACAACGATGTAGGTGCAATTTCCGACTCGTATCTGCTCTTCTCCACCCACTATAGTACGCCCAGAAAAATTGTTTATTTCAAGAGCATGCTTCTCCAAGATTAAATTCACTCTTGAAACAAGTAAATATTGTCTTTGGAAGAAGATTTTTCTCTTATTCGAAAGACAACTTCAGCTTGTTTCAAGAGTAGAATTGATCTTGGAGCCGCATTTACTTGAAACAAGGAAATATGTCCTTGAAACCAGAAAGAGTTTCTCTGGGTGTACTCCTAAAGAGTCACTCCCCTTCTAGTTGGTCAAATAATATAAATACTAACAGGCATGAAACAAAAATATTCGTAAAATGTTGTCAGACTTGACGGGGTAAAGTCGGACAGGCACCGTAAACAGTCACACACATATGAGTGGCGCCACGCGGTGCCAAGCGGCAACAGGTGCGACGAGGCACACGAAGGACAACTGGCGGGGAGGAGGTGGGGGTGGGGGCGCAAACCTCTGCAGCCATGTAGTTCGGGGTGACGGCGATGACCACAGTACGACTTTTAACATGGCATGCTATATCTTCATTTACTCATCGTTTTGTCGGGGCTACGAAACGGCAGTGTTTTGCGGGTTTGCCTACTCGCTCCATCCGTGAGGCGCCATGACCCGCTAGGGTCTCATCGGGTAGACAAACGCGCGCAACACTGCTGTGCCGTAGCCGCCCTGACACACGCACGTTCCAAGTTTTTGACGGCGGCGGGACTGTGAGACCGAGCATGTGTACCCCAACAAAAATAGATGTTGTGTGCTGGTGTAAGCGACGCGTACCACTGCTATTTTTAAAAATTCAAAAATAAAACAGATACAGAGACGCCGACCGGAGGCCGAGGAGTCAAGAGCACATTCCTCCTCCCATTTGTTGGTTGACCGATCGGACGCCACGCCTACAGCCCCCTACCCCTTTCGGAGGTCGGCTGGATCCGCTCCCTGATATCGGCGAACAGTATACGTACTCTCTCTCTCTCTCTCTCTCTCTCTCTCTCTCTCTCTCTCTCTCTCTCTCTCACGGGCGGGGGGGGGCAGGCCCCCGCTTGCTACCGGACGCCCTGGAGGTATGTGCCAACAGGCGGGGCAGGTCGTGCACCCCGGGAAGGTGTGTGGGGAGCGGGAAGGTACTGAAAGTAAGGAGCAGGGGTGAGGAAGTATGCACAGGGGAAGGGGGGAGGTGGAGGGGGGGCGCTGGGCAGGCTGATCCTACCAGGCCAGTCGGGTCGCTCAGCCGCTTCTGAACTAAACCGGTACCGGTACGCCCCCATCGGCCCGGTCAAGCCTTGGTCCTCCAGAGCGGCAGCAGGGAGCTGGTCCCTACCCCC